TGTCTATAACGTGTGGGCCTGCCCGGCACGTGTGGTGCCTCTCTCTCTCCCCCCTCTCTCCCCCTCTCTCCCCCTATCGCCCCGAAGTACCGTAAAAACCGGTCGCCCCGGTGGTCTAGTTGGTATCCTCGAAACCTTCTAGAGGTCAGGTCAGGGGTTCGAATCCCCGCCTGAGCGAGCTTTTCTTGCACAGTGAGTTTTTCTTTCGCTTCCGCTCCTGGCCTAGTGGATAGCGCTAGTTCGTGTGTACACAGAGGGAAGAGAGTGCTGAACTCTTCTCGCATTAAAAATTCGAAGGCAAAGTACCGCAGGAGGGGAGGGTAGAGAGGGGCTCGTCTGTGTGACCACGGGTTGGAGTGAACGGCACCAGTGCTGTGAGCGCTGATTTGAAGTGAAGACAAAAAAAAAAAACGCCACCTCCACTGTCCTTTTAGACTACATACATCCGCTGCTGGAACTCAGGCGGCTCCCGAAGTATCGGAGGAGGGGGAGGAGAAGGAGGAGGGGGGGGGTCGACAACATAATTCTACCTCGGGAGATGTGGAGGTGAGATCGGCGGTGGTGGGTCTTGTGCATGACAGGGAGTGGCTTTCGGTTTGGTCAATCAAGTACATCGTTGTGGTGTGATGGGCAAGCACGCTCGCACAAGCAAATTTGTAGACGTACGTGTAGCATGCTGCTGTAACATGCTGCTGGAACGTCGTGGATGGATGACATCAAAGCCCAGCTCTACAATAGCACTAGCACTGCTGCTGCTGCTGCTGCCACTGGCAATGCTACGCTTCGTCCGTCCTGTACATGTAGAATCGTCTAGACTAGCCTATACCTAGACAGCAGCAGCAACTGCACCACGCACCGGCATGTGAGAAGGATTCTCGCTGTCGGCGGTACTGCAGTACAGCCGATGCTGAGGTGTAAGTAACACTCACGCCATTTTCTGCTGCTGTGCTCACGTACCCAGAGGAAGATGCTGTGATTTCTCATCGTGCACCAAGGTAAGAATCAACAGCAGCAGCAAAGTATCTCCCGGTCGGGGTGTCCGTGTGGTCTCCCTTCTCGTTTTGGCTTGAGAATCTTGTTGGTTCAGTTCGTACCTCTCACACATGGTTTCATGTGTACACATACAGGCAGAGCATTGCAGGCCTGTAGGACTTCAGCTGACTGTCTATGTGTCTATGGTGTTCCTGTTGTCTAACACTGCCGTGCGTCATACTGGTGAAAAGATCTCTCGGCACCGATCGGTGTATCGTGTATGTCTACTGCTGTACGTATCTCTCCCAATGTAGCAAACTCGTCCCAGTTCCGCAGAAGCACAGCATTGATGGGTAATGACTGTGGCGAATGTGAGTTTGTGTGTGTCGTCTCGGGGTCTCATTGGTCTAGGCCGGTTGGTTGGAAGCCTGGCCCGGCCCACACTCGACCTCCTCTGCGATACCAGAGCAGCTACAACAGCAACAGATCGGGTTCCCAACACATGCGGCGCAACCGGTCGGAAGGCGGAGAGGCGCACGAAACGCAATAACCAACGAAAAACCTCATCAGACAAATAGCGGTCCCGCAATCAGATTCCTTCAACTGAGCCAACAGAGCAGTATCGGAATGGTTCTTCGAGCTCACATGTCGATTGTGCGATAGGAGGCATGTGTTGCAAACCCTCCGTAAGGTGGCCAGTCTGTCCGACGCTCCAGCTGCCAGCTGCTTGCGATCAGGCACACAACATGTAGTCTCGCAGGGATCCGCGGGACATCCTCTCAGGTGTGGTGTGTCCGTGTTGGTGTGTATACATGGGCCGCTCGGTAGCAGCTCGCTCGTGACTTGGGAGCTGCCTAACGTGACTTTTGTGGAGGAATGCATGGGTTGAAAGCTTGCAGTTCCTCCGCCCTGGTCGGTCTACCCGACCACGAACGAACTTCTTGCGTTTCTTTGAGAACCAAAAGGCGTTGATGCGTTGATGCCAAATCCGGGTCTTTGCCCACTCGCCCACGCTGTCGTGCTGTCGCTCGCTCGCTCGCTTCTTGGCTACTCGTCCTGCACTGGCTGGGCAGATCTTGGCTACACGAATAGTTTTGGCTTGGTATGATTCTGTGAGTTCCGGGGATGCCTCCGTGCCACGCATTGTGCCTCCGGAGCACTACTTACGGTAAATAAATAGGTCCAAGTAACCGCATCCTCAATTTTGTTTTCCTACGGGGCATCTCGTATGCAGGCGTTTAACTGCTGTTACTGGAGGTGCGCGCAGAAGAGTAGAGGAACACAGGAAGGAGAAGCTGAGAAGCTGCTGTTGGTGGTGTGGGTGAACGGGGAACGGCAAGCATGAGGAGGCGTGACCGCACCGAATCTACAGCAGCCCTGTGTGTATCCCTGGCAACAACCAAGACCGACGGCGGAGCAGCAGCAGGTAGGCACGGCGATCACGCTACACCTACTGCCTGTAACTACAGCACGCAGGGTGAACTATGCAAACTGCTATGCTTCCCATCCCTTCCGTTCCTGGTGGCACCTAGACTTCTCGTGACTACTATGCATACTGTTTACAATAATACCACGCTGTTGTATTTCTTGCATGGCTCTCTTACCCCGTCCACATTGATTGGCGAAGAGTGTGGCCGCCTCATGCATCATCGATCGTTTAGTATGTTACTCGTGTTGTCGCCCCTACACACGCTAGTCCAGACTAGATTGTCGATCGCCGTTTCGATACGCAGACGAAAATGGTCCTGGCCCGAAGCCAGCAAGCCTGTAGGACTACTGGCTAGTGTTGCTCGCTGTACTGATCGCCGACTGCACGTATGCATGAAATGCATAGAAACTCGTTTTTTGCAACAAGAGCTCCGGAGGAAGAACAGACACAACCGGTCTTCCACCAATTCCTTTCATGGTCCTCGGGTGTACCAAGCTCTGTTCGCGCCAAAGCGCTGCTGATTGGTTTTTCGTCTCACTCTTACGCGTTGGAGAGTGGATTGGCATGCAGATGGGTCACCTACAGCCGCTTTTCCTGGAGATAAGACACATTTGGTGTTTACCATGTTGGAGGTAGACACATGGGCGGCTTGGGGCGATTACTTACGCGGAGATTGGCGATGGAGGTACAACTGCGCGAAGATTGTCTCCCGAGAGTGCAAAGGAGGCCTGCGAGCAATTAAAAACAGCAACTGGACAGCAGTTGCGATGCCAAAGAATTTGTTCAGTTTCACGCAATTCAAGGCATATTACTTGCTTGCGGACAGAGAATATGATGACTGTCCTGAGGTATCCTGCTGAATTCGTGGCCAGTCAGGTATCATGCTGAAGTCGTGACAAGTAATACCACGACGAGCCGACGGTAGCTAAAGGCATGGCTCAAGACGGGCTCGACACACGTGTTGCTTCCTGCTGGTCGGGCATCTGGTGTGTTGCGGTCGTACATGGCCTTGGCACGTTCTGAAGTCAATTTGTTCAGGATCTCGAAACCCCGCTTCGGACCTACGCCAGTACTACTCTCCTACAAGACGAAAAGTGCAGCCTCTGCTCTGTCGCCTCACTCTGCCGTTTCCATTGTTTCTTTTATTCTTGCGCAGACAGCGTCCCAAGACCCGTGATGGTTGGGGACGGCCAGGGACAGCCGGGATACGGCGAGGTGCAGACAGGGGACGAGCAAGCAAGAAACATTCTCCCCGAACAAAGCGGCGGCGGGTGAATCTTGCTGCGAGGGGAAGGCGCAGCCTTGACCAAACAGACTGAAAACCTAGAAAACCTTCGAAGGTGAGCACACATTCTGGGACTGCCGCTTGCTTTCCTGCTTGCGCACGACTGCCACGGGCGTGTGGAGTATTAGTGGCAGCCGTAGCTGTCAGGCCAAGCGATGCTTTCCTTGCGTGCACCCGATGCGAGCACGCGGGAGTCGAAAATGTCTTGTCTTCATGACGGTTCATTCGGTCGTCGTTCTGCATGGCGGTAATGCGGGCAACAACGCCTCTTCATCGTTACGTGCGATATTTTGTCTCGCTGCAGGCACGCTGGAGTTTTGCATCATCACTTGTCGCCGACCTTTCTCGCTTGCTTTGTTGGATGGTTGCTTATTTTCTTCGGTGACTTTCCCGTGTTTCCTATTACAGTACATGGATACGCGATGGGTATCGACGAGAGTATGAAACGGGCGGGGTACACCTGTGGTAAGTATATCTCCCAGAAATCCGGGAAGTCTTCCGATTGTCCATGCTACACAGGGAATACATTTTTTGTTGTCCGGTGGTCATCTTGGTGATTTTCACATATCATGATGCATATGAATGGTGGTTTTCTTTGCCCGCTCCCTTATACCCGTTGCCCCACACTAGGCACACGCGTGAGAAGGAACGGACGCTCACTATGATGGCGGACTCCAAGAAAACGAGTGGTGGTGGTTGAATTTTGAGTTGTCTTTTTTTCAGTTGACGCCCATCGCGCATCCGAATCACACTCAGTAGTCATGTGTAACCCTCAAGTCTCAAGTGATAGGTGACCTGGTGATGCCCCACTCTCGAACCTTTTCCCGCTTCGACGTGAGAGGAGGTACGCGTTATTCTCTCTACGAGTACCCTCGGTATCTTCGAATTATGACGTGTTTTCGCTAGCGACGAGCCCGAGCCGGCCGGTGTGTGGAACCATTTCCGAGCCGATTATTGCCGCGGTTTTCTGTATCTGTGCTGTGTTGTGTACTGTAAAGTACTGTAAAGATGAAGGCTGGTACAGGGCCGGAGAGATCACACCCCGGTGCAACAGCCAGCATGAAATTATATAATTGGGTTTTCACAAAGGGGCCGGGCGTGTGCCATAGAGAAGCACCACATTAGTTTCAATTCGATTTTCGCACAGGGGCCGGAGAGATGGCACGGGGACGCGGAGAGAGTGATCCCACCCCACTGCGAAAAAACACGCCCGTTCGAAGTGTTGCAAAGGTCGATCGCACAACTGTGCCAACCTTCGCAGCCTCACGGTAGTTGGCTGCGCGCCCCAAGTCTCCCTACAGATTTGGAAGTGTTCCATTTGCCTGAAAAATTATGTTGTGATACATACCTCTATCGTGAGTGCTGATGCCGTAAACAAACCCGCATCCTGTACTAATGTTTCACCCCATCCGACACGGGCGAGAAACCAGCACCGTGTTTCTCGCTTCGAAGCAAGACTTTCTTTTCTCAATGTCAAGGATCGTCCTCGGCCGAGCTTCTCCCCGGTCGACGTCAAGTGAGTGCGGTGACCAAGCGACCGCGCACCCCCTCTTACCACTCACACTCTTACTTCAGGCCGTAACTAACACTGCTACTGCAAAAGCAATCTCAGGGCACCTGACCTGTAGTTGTAAGTCCTGGAGCGCTACAAAACCAGAGACCCCTTAACGGTGGCGGATCAACGGTGACCTCCACTTGTCACGAACACCACGCCGCCAACAAGCTCACAATGAGCGTTCGCGCCACAGCAGTCATGCCCACCCCCGAAGCCAGCACGTACGTGGCACGAAACGTGATGCGCTCGTCCCCGTCTAATTACACAAAAAAAAAAACGTGTCAATGGAGCCAGTCGGCAAGATCGATTTCATACGATGTGCCTTGCGTGATCTGGCCCGACATCCTTTTGCTATCGCAATCCAACGGAACGAAACATGCCACAAAAATAAAAAAACAAATGTAAAAAACATCGCTTGCCGTCTACCAAAACCGGCCGCCCCCGTACATCAAACCTTCTATCTCGGGCACACACAACTACCAAACCCACCCGCCCAGAACACGAAGAAGACCAACGCATTCCGCTACTTTCCGGAGCGGGAAGTCCTGTCTCCCGGCTTGTCCACACGAACAACCTTGACGGTGAAGAGCAGCGTCTTGTCGATGTACCCCGGGTTGCTGAGTACGAAGTCCAGCGCGCGGGTGCCCGAAAAGGTGGACGGCTTCGGCCCCACCCTGTCGTGCTTCCGGTCGCCCTCGGGGTATCCGAGCTGACAGCAACGGCGGCAGACGCGCCGGAGACGGAGGGTCCGTCCGGTTGGTTTGGGTACGAGGGTTGAGTTTGTTATGGACTCGTGACAAAGCTCTGCCTGTATGCTCCCGCCAGATTCACCGGGGTTGTACCACCTACCGTGCACCCGGCACCGCGCTGTATTCAGAGAAGAATGACAAGAGGTTGAATATCGCATCCGTTTTCACGCGACTTCACCGGCAGTAGTACCAAATATCGGGCCAGTGCACTATCCAACAGTTACTTTCGAAGGACCCCCACTCTATGAGCAACGGTTGCAAGTACAGGCGGAGCTGACTTCGGCAGTCGCCCGTCGTACCTCAGGCGGCACCACAATCTGCCGCACGCCCCCGGCTTGCATTCCCTTGATGCCCTCCTCCAGCCCAGGGATGATAGTACCGCTGCCCACCACGAAACGGGACGAGTCCTTGTCCTTGTCGAAGTCCCCCCCCTTCGGCCCCCTATTACTCTCGAACAGGTTTCCGTTGTACCCTGGCGTTCGTAAAATGCGATGCGTTTCGTGAAATGGGTTCGGGGGGGGGGGGGNNNGGGGGGGGGGGGGGGGGGGGGGGGGGGGGGGGGGGGGGGGGGGGGGGGGGGGGGGGGGGGGGGGGGGGGGCTTCGGTTTTTGCGCGTAACCAATGCCCGTGCTTTCAAGGCGGCGGCGGCGTGTCATTCATCGTTCTTCTGAGCAATCCCACGCTGCAGCCACAATTTCGTACACGTCTTTAGCACAACTTAATCCCTCACCGATAGTGTACCCTTCCCAGTCGAAGACAACCCTGTCCCCATCCGTGACAGCCCTCCCCGTGCCGACCTTGGCGTCCTTGAACTGGAGGCCGTTCTCGAGATCTCTGAAATCTCTTCAGGGGAAAGTAGCACGTCGCGCACACACGTTGGGCGGGATGGGATGACGTGGTCGAGCACGTGCGCACGACGGGGAAACAGGGGCATTGTCAACACACAAACGTCGACAAAAGTGATGATACAACTAATCACACGATATGCTTGTGCAGATACAAGTCAAGACAACAGCATCAGCGCATGTAATGAAACAGCTGCTACACGAAATCCTTGTGCAAATAATCGCAAGTACCTCAGTAGTAAGAGGGGGGGGTGCCCTCCGACTCGGAGTCATGCTCAGTCCCACACAACAAAGAGGAACAAAATCTGGCACAATGTGACCTGCCGTTTCAAAAAGGCGCCGTCCAAGACAACGGATTCTTCGCGTCAAGTATTTACACTTCTTCGCGACACAGTTATCCGGATATTCGTATAATAGTGCTACCTGATGTGTCGGGGTGTGATCAGTTTCCGATTTTCGACAAAAACACCACGGAGCTCGGCCCAACCGTCGTCCGTGCCGAGGAGTGCTGCCGCGGTGTGTTGGTAGGAACGTTCAACGTCTGCGCATGATTTAGCGTTTTCCTGCGTGCAGTGAAGTTTTTTACCCTCTTCGCACCACACTCTTGTGACCGCGTACAATGCAAAAGCACTCGGAGAGGACGGGCACCACTGGAACCAACAGCATGCTACGGACAGCGAACTCAAATTATTTGATATCTTGTCGACTGAAGTGGGTCCACGAGGTGAAGGCTCGTGTAAAACTCATGTTTTTTTTTTTCCCGTCTGCCTCTTCGTTTTCCAGGCACAAATAGGTGTAGGATACGCTGTAGCATGTTTCGAGCGAGGGGGCCAAAACTTGTGCGTCCATGACGATGTCCTGTGCATGGAGACGGGGGGAGAACAACCAACAGCAATAACCAACTCGGGATCCTAACATCCACTTCACACTTCCACACCAAAACCGGACATTGGGCATGCGACTCTTGAGAAGCGGTTGGGCACGATATGCGCCGTCCATAATCGCACACAGCAGTCGTACATATACTGGGCGCACAAGTTCGAAGTCACCTCCCTGTTCTAATGCAAAGGAACAACCTGCTGCTGCTGCTAATAGGTGTGACACACGCGTGCACTTGGACCAATCGTCTAATTTTGGCTCTCACGGGTAGCGGATGCGCGGCTTCGCGAAGCTCTTGCTCCCACCGCCCAGTTCCATGTAGTCGGACCCCTGAGTGTCCCCCTCCGGCAAGCGGGCTCGGGGAGGAGGCTTCGGCGCCTCGCGCGCCCCCGCCGCCGCCGCCCCGGCCACGAGTCCGGCCGCCGACATGGCGGAAGCGAGGCACTGTCGGCGGCTTACCGGCCCGTCTCCTTGAGGCTGTTGGGGGGTCAATTTTAATTTTTCCGAGAAGGGGGGCGGCGGTGCCGTTGGTACAACAGGGGGTAGAGGGTTTGTTGTCGAAAGCGGCCGTGCGAGGTCTCGTGAACGCGAACGTCATGCAGGTGGCGTGTTTCGCCATGTTGGGCGTGTAACGGAATCGTCCGTGTGGGTGAATACATGTGTCGGTTCATGTAGCAGTACTCCTGGCGCTTGGCGCGTTACCGACATTTCCGCCTACCAAACATTAAAGTTGATGCGTGTATACTGCTGTGCTGGCTGCCGGCAGCCGCGCGTGGGTCCTCATTCAAAAACTCCTCGCTCGATCGTCAGCCGGAGGCATCGCCGGCAAAGTATTTGACTTAGACTAGTCCACGATTGTACGTCGAGGAAACGCTGAGTACACAGGTGCGTGCACTACTGCACGAAAGTGAATAACGTCCCTAGTGAAATAGGTCTGGACGCTTGTTGAGCAGCGGTGCCTTTAGATCGCTGACCTTCCGCCTTCCCGTGGGTACACGGACGGATTGTTCAACTTGAAAGCAAGAGGCGTTTCAAACGGCAAATGAACGTCAACAGTTCATCACAGCGTGGTTATCTACATAGACTAGGGCTCGCCGTTATTGAAGATTGAGATGCTCGAGGGAATGAAGAGCATAGGTACGCAGCGTTGTCGATGCCAGCGAACAAGCGCTTACTCTTGGTGGGTTGGGGTACAGGTTACACACAACCGTAGTGCAGTCTGCGCGCGGCGTCTAGACACCGCAGCAGACCATTGTGTGTGAGCCAGCGCCAGCATGAACGACAAACGGGCATCCAAGCTGCGGGACAGCAGTAGTATACGCCCACCCAAAAATCGATGAAACATAAAACTTACGCATATTATGGTGCCTTTTGGGTCACCGCAACTTCGGTTACTCTGGTACTTCAGTCTCCACTGCCGGCTGAGTGTGTGCTTCGTGTGTCACTAAAATGTGTTGACTGGTGCAACCCGTCCTACTCTGAGAACAGCCGTGTGGCGTACAAAAGCTGGTTTGGCGATATCCACGACACTCACTACACTGCTGTTGTGTATGCTATACGGTGGCGTCCACCAACAATGAATGGCAACGAGTCTGTACACTGAACACCAACAGCCACAACTATAAGGTGTACGCGCTGCTACACAGACTCACAGCAGCAGCTGCATTTCCCCCTTCTGAGCTCATCATGCGCAGCGAGCTCTCCTGCTGGTGATGACGGTGCGACAGCTGACTCGAAAGCGGCGCGGTAAATGCAGAGACCGACCCCACCGAAGCGGCAGCCGTCATGGCCACGCCAAGTGCTACGCACGACCGAGGCATTGCGGAAGCAAGGTTGTGGTTGTGTGCGTATACGTGTTTTTGTGTTCGGGGTCACACAGCAGTAGCAGCCCAGCACGCAGCATGTGAGCGGCAACACCCACTCAGGCTGCAGGCCGAGAGGCCCCGCGAGATCATCGTGGAAATCTCGCCGCGTTTTTCTCGCTGTCCGACCTGCTGCAGCTTGCAGCCGGACCTTGCCCTGATTGCTCTACTGCTGTGTCAACCTGGCTCGTATTCTCGTGCTTCCGCGCAGTCTCGAAGCGTGTGAAGTTGTGCTACGTGGTCGTCCTGCCAACGGGAAATGGCTCTACCTCTACCCCCAGGTCGAAATGACAGCAGAAGACAGGGAGTTGCTGTGCAACAACAGCAGCGAGGGGGCGGTGGTGCCGGGAACGCCAACAACGGCAACCGGAAGCGCGGATCCGTCGCCATGATAACGGCTGTCAACTCTTGCAGAAGGTACATATGTCGTGATGTTTATCTTAGAGAGCTCGAGAGTGCCAGCACTGCACATTCACAGCAGTTCCTCTTCCTCATACCTGTCTACGACACAGCGAGTTCCAACCCAAAGCTTGGATTCAGACATAATTTGTATTGATCTCATGTCCCTGATTGTTCCCTCTGTCTGCCGAGCAACGCCGTCTTTCGTATACCTTGAGCAGATTCAAACACGTCAAACTAACACGCCGAGGTCGTCGTAGAAGTTATTTCCTTTCGGAGGTTGACCCAAACAACCGGTCACTGCCCTCTGTCGGGTATTTAGTTTTTTCCCTCGAGTCTACTGCTTGATCCCTGGCGATATCGTCGTTGGCAACCTGCTGCGATTGTTTCGCAACTGCGCTAACGAAAAGCCCCCGTTTGTATCTGGCGGTGCCCGGCGTTGCGGTGGCTGCATTGCTGGAAACGACGGTCGTTGGTCCTTTTCATGTAGCGCTTGTGGGGAGGGCGCCCGTCCTTGTTTGGTCACAGCAAGCCAGAAGATTATGCCACTGCCTCGAATCGTTTGCGTCTGCTGCACATCACTAGTGCTGTACAACAGCGGTGTCGGTTAGTCTGGCGCACAGATCCTAGTTCACGGCGCGGTGACCTTCCCCCAAGAGCATGTTCTCGCACAAAGTTCCCTGTACAGCACTGGTATGATGAACTTAGTAGCTGCAACAGCAGCATCGCGTGGAGCAACAAGACTTGAGACGCGTCCCTAGACTCTCCCCGCCCTTGTACTTGCACAGCAATGGCAGTTTCCCGTCGCCGACCCCATTTGCGGCACTGTAACGGGATCATCGCAGTCCGCCTGAGGGGGCGGTGGATGGACAGCCGAAAGGCGCTCTGCCCGCCACCAAAAGTTTGACACCTTCCTTGCAAGTGTTGTTCGATCTTGGTCCCCAAGTCGGCACCCGCGCACCGCAACTCCATCCAGCGAATACCTGCGTCGCGGGGTGGCCCAAGCGCCAAATGATGGTACTTGAAACTTAAGCGAAGGTGTTATAGGCCCCAACGCCCCATCCTTACCACGCCCCTCCCTCTTTCATTGTTCCGCCTTACCCACCATTTTCCCAAAAGCGTGGCTGTCTCTGACGCCATTCTCGCGGCACAATCCGCGTTCGATGGGGGGGAGTTCCAGCCAGAGGCGTTCCCCCGGTGCGTGTGTCTGCTCCTGGAGGCGTTTGAGGGTGGGGACAACGCCATCAAGCTCTCCGCAGCCCGCCTGCTGGAGAGGTGCCGGCCGTACTTCGGCGGGAACATTCTCGCGGTTGAAGTGAGAAGAGATTTGATGTATGGCGTACATGTAGTTCAGGCTTGAGATTGCTTTTTTTTTTGCCTCGTCTCTTGTCTCTTGGCAGTGCTGGCGTGTGTTGCTCGGGTGGTCGACAGATGGTCTTCCTACACAGTAGCTGTTTCGCATATCTACTGCTGTAGACTGTACAAAACACCTTTTGCGATCATCCTTCGCCCGAAATCCAACAACCAAGCCTCGACCATCCTCAGAGATAGAGAGTCCTATCTCTCTCTCGCTCTTGGAAACTTCAAGACCCAGGGCTTTCATAAAAGAGGGGACATCCTCGAGGTTTCGAGCTTCATTCCCGCGGTAAAATTGATTTGTCACACGAACGAATCATAATGGCAGCTTCTTCGGTTTTGTCGGGCCTTGAGAAAGAAATTGATCGCCCCGCGAAATCATAGGGACGGTTTTGTCGGAGAAGGTTCGCAGTTGCTCGAAACAGAAGTGTGCAACACGCAGCAACGGGCTAGCGAATGCCTAGAGAGATTTCTGTAGGTAGGGCGCATGGTAATATATATATATTTGCATGATATGGGGGGTCAGGCAAATCAATACGCAGCAGTTATCCTCCCCACGTTCAAAATTCCAACGAGCCTCTTCTCCCTCAAAACCACCACTCCTCTTCCTCAGAACCGCAACCCGTACCCCCCCCCCCCCCCCCC